TACTCACTGTAGACACAAGTCAAAGCAAAGAAAACCTTGCTGAAATGAGGAGACATCAACTGCTCGAGCGGCACACAACAATTATGCACGCACACGCAAATCTACCACAATCGTCGTCTGTCCCCACAGGCTTGGTTGTACCGAAATTTAACCTTTTCGGTAGATGTAAACTTATCGTCATAAACCATGATAAATATGATATTCAATTATCTCTCGTAGATTCAACTTCATCCATATTATGCCTATTCGGATATCGTATGACAATGCAATCGCAGATGCAGGCATCTCTCAGTCCCTTTGGACAGTCACTCGAATTCTCCTTACGAAACTATAGGTACCAACAATGCTTTCTGACGAGACTATCTTGTTAAGGATACGCAACGTGAATAGAGCAGCTTGTAACAAGTGAAGTTTACTCAGTAGAATGACGTATTCAGGTCACGGAAGTATATGAAAGAATTGTCAACAGTCAAATCACGGAATTATTGATAACTATGAACGAATTCAGTTTGCCAGGGCAATGACTTCACGAGTGAAATGTCCGAGACTCTACTCGGAAAGATAGTTGATAGATTAATGTAGCATCACGGATACGGCGAGATGATCGTGATGGTTGGAGTCAACTCTTGCGCTGTCATTCGTCAGAAAAGTGTGTTATACGCAACTCCATGGTAATCAATTTGGTCACCAGATATAATAGAGTTGTCTACGAAGATTGGCAGATACAACAAACTCGGAGCTCTGGATTCTGGTCGACCTTCACGGGTCGTAAACTACACATCAGCAAGGCTGAAATAATAAAATTAAGTTTCCGTCTCTTCAGAAGAAGTGGAAGTAGACTGGTGAGCGCATGAACGCGGTCACACCTGAGCAGCATCTATCCGAAGAACGCTGCAGCACTATGATGAGACTATCTAACCCTGTTCCCAACTTCGGGACCCCAAGGCACCGTGAATGCGATCCCAGGAACAATTCCAACAACGTTGTGAATGTTGAGATCTCATGAAGAGGGGTCACTCAAGAATGATGGGTGACGTCCTTCGTCGGCGTTCCATCCGCATCACACACATTCCCCTGGGTCGCGTCTACTACTTGATTTTGATTTAGGTAGTACTCGAAACAGTGTAGTAATACTTGTGTTGATCGACACTAACGCAAATACGATGAATGCTCGTATCTCCGAAGAGATTAGAGGAGGGTAGCCTGTCAGCATCCTCAATAGGGCCATAAAAGTCCACAGATAAGTTCATCTTCAATTACCAACTTATTAGCAGCAAGTTCTACATAGGCGGTATCATGTGCTCAAATAGGCTCTCAGGCACTCGGCAACTCGCCGGATGGAAGGACATGCTGTCTCGGGAAAGGGTACGCAAACTCAACGGAGCGTTGCGCATACTAGTGCCCCGTTGAAGAGCGCGCTGTGTTTACGCTGAAAGTTCCGTTGGACTTGCAAGATCCGGTATGCGAACTTCTTCAGAAGGACCACGCTGGAACTTTCGGCAAAGGAAATCTTAATTTCTACACGAGGCGTCGTGTGCGACATGAAGTTCAAATTCATATCACACTTGATGCCTCGGAGTAGAAGGGCATCACAGCCTTTAGATGATCGAGGGTGAACGTAGCAACAGTGGGATGGATCTCGGTAGTTCGCCCACCATGACGTGGCTCTCCTCATCGAAATAAAACCAGCCTCACATGACGAGAGCGCTGACCTTCATCGAGATCCGCGCCAAGCACAGTGTTACCTTACCGAAGCTAGTGATGATCATACTGTGTTTATCTCCAACTAGACGAGCTTCACTCCCAAGTTCCTCATCGAGACGCTACTTGAAATGGTGAGAGAGCGGTTAAAGTCCGACCTAGGATGTCCATAGAATGGTCGCCGGAGCACCAACGATCGTTCGCCTTATGCACTTGCCTATATGGCGTTACTCTCAGGAGACGCTAGCGAAGCGACTTCGTTATTCATTCTATCGGACGATGGTCATTTGACTCCGTATGCCGCTACCCTACAGAAAGATACGACTCGAACTAGCTGTGAACGGATACTCTAGTATTGAACCTAGGATTACTATACAGCCCAGGTAACCTAACTAGAGACACGACAACCTCATGCAGAAAAACAGGAAACCCACAAGAGTTAGTTTTTACTCCCTGAAAAGCAGTTTCGAATTGACCCGCACTAGACACAAGATGAGCACTCACGTCCCGAAGAAACTCCACTAAGAGTAGCATCCCTCTAAGGCCCCTTTACTCGAGAGCGGTGAGAATATCAGAGTCACCGGCATCGAGAACGGCCATGCAGGAAACGCGGTAGAACCTACGGCAGGCGGTGCCGAGGGCGTTGTTGTCACCGACGTAGTGATGGACACCAGTCTTGGAGAGCATGGCGTAGTACTCGATCTCGGAGCGACGGAGAGCAGGACAGTTGTTCGACACGAGGACGAGCTTGGCGCTACCGGAACGGATGGCCTGAGGGCTCCGGAATAGTCGAAATAGGTGATGCAACGACACTCCTACCTTCATAGTGGACCTCCAGCCGATGGTGTACTTGCCGGACTTGAGAACAAGCTGCAACCCAGCGTTAACGGACTCATGAGCTTTAGTCTGAGGGGAAAGGGCAATGATGATACTGTTCTAATAAGAGAGACCACGTAGTTGGAGTCTGCTGACATACCTGCTTCTTGGACACCATTATTGAGATGCTTCAGGGTGCTTCCTGAAAAGGAACATCTTATAATAGTGTCATCCACAGGGTGCAGCAACACCAATACGAAGGAATCAGTTATTACCAGCAAGGGTTCTTGTGGAGGTTTAGTGAGGGGCTCGCGCGAGATTCTCCCAGAGCTATCGATCACGCGATCGATTTAACGAAATTGCTTACAGGCACTTATACAATCTTGCCTTTTCGCATTTACTCAGCGAGATGCTCTCCATTGCTCGTATTTGTCCTTGCCTCCGACTGGAGCCCCCTCTTGGTGCTCCCCCCAGTGCCCATAAGTCAACCCGAGATGAAACACTTCCATCGTATCAGCGTGCTGCTGCCGAGACTGTTGACTCTGGCAACGTTCAGTAAGCCCATACGGCGTAATTTTAGGGGCCAGATGTTTTCTTAATGGTACTTGTTAGCGTACTGTTGTGAGCAGTAATTGCCGAACCGCGGCTAGCACAGTATCTTCCAGTGTTAAACACTATCGCGCTCTTGCCTAGTCGTTGACAGCAAGGCACTCGTTGCTTCCACGGTGTCACGCTGATCACTTGGGATGATGTCCGCCTATTCTCTCGCATCCGGGCCTTCTTTGACGGGCGGTCGATCATCAGGTCTCACCCCGAAGTCGGTCCCGAATCAAATACCAACGGAACCGACGAAACTGGAACATTGATTGAGTCGGTCACCACCACGGAATCCGTCTGCGTGGCTGACGATCTCAGGATGATGTCTGCAAGGTACGGCTGAGCTTCACACTCTCAGCATTCAGTCTTTGCATCAGTATCTCCGATCCCGGACAAGACTCGTCATTGAAGACTAAAGTAGCTGTTCGAATAGGAAGGGAAATCGCGACCGAGGATGGCACCACTGCTCCTGCGACCGCATGCTCTAGCCCGTCTGTCGGTGATCGGATGAGAAATATAGGCGAGGACTTGGGGCATTCACTGGAGCCTTTTGGGTTCTTCGTTACACTTACTAATCCGAGAACGGAATCAGACGGCGAGGAGGAGTGTGAGGAAGGATTGTTGGAATATGCGGATCAATACGGTGATCCAGAGAAGGCAGATGTACATGTGGGCGTCCTTTCCGCTGGTGCCGCATCGTTTGGTTATCATCACGCTCGACTACTGCAAACTCGACTTGCGGGTATCATCATGACGGAGCCTCGTAAGCCGACGTGAAAAGCTCTCCTAGAAAATGATGTCTAGTACTTGGTATGCTATTTATAATTCATGACGATTCTCATGGAGGTATCCATTAATATCCTATATGTGTTGCGTTGTGGTAGGGTAAAGGGCGGCATTCCTCTTAGTACACGTTCGATATGGCCCATCTATCGTTGCTAGTGAGAGTAACGGTAATTCTGGGCATCATCACATGTGCATCAGGATGGCTTGGAACGGCAGCTACTGGCATTCTTCACTATATTCCGCCTGAGGCGCCGTCATACTCGTTAGATTCAGAGCAAGTGATGGCTCATGTTGGGCAGGTAGAACTGCCTCGAGCTGACGACGTAGAGGGTATACAAATGGCTGCTAGCCCGACAGCTATTTTTGTAATTGCTATTGTGGCGGCATATTGCAGTGACTTGTTCTTTGGAGAGAACTCGACAACATCAGCATCATCATCATCGTCACCAACTCTATCGTCTCCAACTGCTGTTAGCGCGGTTATGTCTCTTTCTGCCGAGTCCATGGCTCACTCTACTGTTAACACCTGGTCATCGTATGATGATCCTTCGACGAGTGTTATCATGCCTGCCTAAGGATAAGGTAACTGCTGCAGCAGCAATTTGCACAAGTACACTAAGTAATATTGATACTGTAATGAAGGCTGTTGTTAAGGAATCTAACGTGCCTATCATCATCGAATTACCTAGCCATACGTGGCCATGGAGATCGCTCATCGACTTCTTCTCTTTCTCTGATGATGATGATCATCTCGTCTAGTCGGGTCATCTATCTTCCAACACAATGAGCCAGTGAGCTCATACTAACTACTGTCTGCTGCCCCGTTGTCTGTTTCGTCATTCTGCTATATGTGTCACATCTCGTATAAGATTGTATAAGACGGTCTTTGTATGCATGATGAGCTTTATGAAGCCTATTAAGCCGTAGGATATATGGCTATGGTAAACTACCTCATTTAAAGTTATCGCTATCGTGCATGTCTCAGCGCCGGATTCCTTTTTCCGACTTCCAGCCACACGGTTATCTGTCACTGTCTTTGGCCCTTTACGTATCGTCAAAGCGTTTCATGACGGTGATTCTTCAAGCGTGGGCTGATGATGAGGTCCTGGATTTTCACAGTCAGATGTCGAGAGAGTCTGTCATGTGACATGACTCATGCCGGCCATCCCTCACCAGTTACAGGGTCACTCCTCGATGTCGTCTTTGTATTTTGTCCAAGTTGTTCGAGCACGACGGTTGTGAAGATACGAAGCCTAGATTTGTGGAGCCTCAAGGTGTTGCCGGTTGGTGATGATATCAGCAGTACTATTGATACACTGTTGTTGCATCTAATACTAGAGTTCACCATCCTCGATCGCCAACGAACTGTCGCTTCGAGGGATTGGAGCTACGGAACCCATCCCTCGGTTTCTTTGTAACATATATCACCCTATATTCCATGTCGGGTTTTGCGTTGATTTAGTCATCTGGGATAACCAATAAGGGCAATCTTATGATTACCTTAGAAAAGTGGTTCAATCGCGAAGGGTAATACTCGAATGACTCATCAAGGCTACATCTAGGACTGAGACAAAATTCTCGCCTCTCTCCAGTGTCTGCGGGCATGGCGATAACCAATGATTGAGAATCTCTGTGATTGGTGACACTGAGGATCCATCACCTCAGAATTCCAACTGATCTTCCATCATCACTTTCAGTGCGTAGGACTCCCCACGATCACTTGTTCTGATTTGGCCTCACCCTGAAAGCCTTTCAGTGAAAGGGATAGATCAAACCTGTAGACCAGCCATTGACTGGTAACAGCTCTAGCCGTGAAGCAACTATCGGCTACATAGACTTGTCATAACTGCCGAGTTGAGCTTGTAGCCAAACTATTTACCAGGCAGTGGTGTTTTTTCTCTCGAGTTTACGGCGTGAGTGCGCTCAGGTCAAAGCTCTAGAGAAGGTTTGAAGAGATCACTTATGCTGTTGAGTAATGGACCATCTCATTCGTCGGCGGCTCGTATTAGCGTTGCGTTTCTATGTTGGCTCGACCTTGCGTCAACTCTGATCAGTTGAGACTCTAACTCGAACACTGTGAATAATCTAAACGACAACGATCGTCACTGGTTAATCGTCCACATAGTCAAAGAGTCCTTCGAATAATCTATCTGCACTGTCCTCGCCACTCAGCCTACCTCGTGACGAGTCAACAAGGGACACGGTGGGAACTGGAGGCTCGTCGGGGGTGTTCTGGTCGGCAAGAAGAACTTCTTCGACGCTACTCAAGTGCTGCCATTGAACTGAAGACGGGGAAGGGAAGTTCAGCCAAGGCAACCACTGGGTGTTTGGCATATCGCTTCGAAAAAGACGGCAGCCGATGTTCCCACAAGATATACTTCTGTCATCGCCGTCGGCTTGATCCATCACGCTTGCTCCCTTCTCTTGTCGTACCGCCTCCTCATCTCTCAATTCAGCCACACCTTCCTTTCTAGCCTCGAGGAGCTTCCGTGCAAACGCGTCGTCTGCCAATACATTACGAATCCAGATGCACTGACGGCTCGAGGTTGTTGCCTGGCGTACCCACCAAATTCGCCAGCACGCCCGCGATCGATAGTGCTGTTAGTCGCCCGCACCCACGGCGCTGACAGCAGTTGCGCCACTTTTTCTCTCTCGTCTGCCCTCACTTTGAGGGAGCCCACCGCCTCGGAGGGAATGCTAATGATAGAACCGATGTCGCCAAAAACCAGCCGAAAAGAACGGCGTTCACTCTGATGGCTGCATCGCTTCGAATGAACGACTGTGTGCTGTCTTTCGCTCTCGTTGGTCCTGCCTCGAAGCCATGTCCCTCAGATTGGCCATCAGGCAACCTTTGGCTAGAGTTCGATCCTGCGAGGATCTGCACCAGCTCACTCTGTAAGGAGATCGATGTTCCCTGTGTCATGTTGGACCCATCAGGAGTGGCAGCCGGCTCTTCTTTACAGACATCCAAGACGGCTGCGTGCGGTGGAACGGAGTCTGGGTCGTGCTGGCTACGATCAAGAAATCCAATTACATGTAGCCTTTCTTACCCACCCAAGACATCCATGGTCGCCAAGATCGCCCGAACTTGTTGTTGTCTCTTCACTCGTCCACGCAGCCGCAGGCGTCGTCGTCGTTGATTCCACTCCTGTAACGCTACATGAGACATTCCCTATGGTGTCGTTCGTAGCCTCTGGCATATCATTGGCAGCTTCCGGGATAAGGAACTCTGGACCAAGTCCGGGAGACTTTGTGAGGATCTGCTTTGAGTGTAGACTGGCCTTCAGCTGCTGTGGCGTGATTCGTGGTCGGGCCAATGATGGGCAGTCGACCGATGGTCTCATCTCTTGCACTAAAAGACAGTTGACTACAGGCAGCACTCGTTACATGGGGCCAAGCTCTACTCGTTCTAACACTCATACACTCTCATCATTGATGGAACAGGAAGGCACTCCTACGATCCCGATGTCCAACTCCAGGAAAAGTCAAAGAGTCGAACAGTAACCTCGCGGAAACATGCTCGCCTGCTCTTATTTTCGGAGACTTCTGAGGTTCTGGGCTCCTCGTCGTATTCTAGTGAGCAATCTGCATCAGCGAGTTGTGCAGGCACTGTGCGTTGCGTTGGGTAAAACTGAAGACCATGGGCCAGAAAAATATCCAGGCTTCGAGTTTCGGGCACACAGCATCGGTATAAGTCGTCATATTAATTCCCAGTTCATCATACCTGCCTAGTTATGACGCTTGCTGTCCTTCAGGCAGTAAATGATGGACGCCGAATGTTCCTCAGAGATTCACAGATGAGCCGAAAAATACGATGAAAGCGTAAAGAAAAGAAGACTTGTCGCGGAGTGCCGAAGTCCTGCCTATGGCGAGGCTTCGGATTGTATATCACTCCGGCCTTATCATCATCGCCATCGTTCTCGTTGGTCTTGCAAGGAGGGCAACAGTTACCCGTGAGGGTAGTGCGTGGGGAATTCTG